TCCCTACTTCAGATTAGATTGATAAACAATTCATGGAATTCTTTTTTTAAAATCTAGTCACCCTTATCTGGGACCATGTATGTATATGGGCAGAGCATGGGCACCACTGAATTAGCTCTTTCCAGCACTGTCCTGGCTGCTGTCAGGTACTCCATGCTCTGGGTCAGACACTAGCTGTGCCTGTCCTTATAGTTGGCAGAGCCGCCTTTTCCAGCACCAGGCAATGGAGAAACCGCTGGAAAAATCCATGTGGCAGAGTCCTACATAAACATTAACCAGGGTTCTGAGAAGGCAGGCAGGCACAGATCCTCGCCCCCAGTTGCTAAGAGTTATAGTAGACTTTCAGGTACTAATAACTCTTCTACAGAGTGTATGGTTAACCTATACAACTCAGGGTTTCAAAATATCCCCATGCATCTGAATTTAACAGGAATCATGAAAGGATCAGGCATTGCTATAGGTAATAAGACATTCACCATTTCGGTAGGTAAAATTATAAGGCTTTTTCAGATCTCTGGTGAAGCTTTGTATATGTTACTCCCAGCTCTGGCACATGCTAAGCTCTTAGAATGATCTTAGCTTTCCTCCAGGGAGGCTTCCTGAGCTTCTTATAGCTCCAGTACTGTATATTGCTGCAGGTCTGTGTTCACTGTGTGCTCAAATACCTGTGAGCCTTCTTGTGAAACACTTGCCTCAGAATATAAGAACATTCTTTGCCAGACCAGCGGAAACCACCTTGCCAAATATTTGCAGCATGTGACACCTGGTGCCCTGATATTGGTGGTGATAAATACAAATAAGAACTGAAATAGAATGTGATGTAGAGATGTGTCAAGTTACTATACAATGCATTTATTTAACCAAAGCTAAGCTGCAACTGACAGTCAGTTTCAGTCTGTTTTGTTTTGTTTGGGTGCATGTGTGAGTGCGTGCGCAAGCGTGAGTGTGATAGGGGTAAGATCCCAATATACAGGTATGTCGTGTAACTGAATATCTACTGTAAGCAAATATGTTACTTTACTCTGTGTTTTGAAACCTTGGGAATTATCAGTGCCTTTGCATATTTTCCATTACTTCACCATGCTCCTTACGGACAGAGTTAAAGCCAGGGGAATTGTGTGAGAAGGCACAGGGACTGAATCTCCGTGAGGTTTCAGTGATTCCAGGGAAGGAAAGTTGAATAAAAACAAAATCCCATCCCAAATAAAATAACTATAGTGAAAAATCAAACGGGGAAGTATAAATAAGATTCAGGGTAAAAAGCAGGGAGTAACTTGGGCATCCAGCATTGTAGTCAGACACTAAGTTGAGTTGTTGCCCCAGGTAGATTAGGCTTCCTAGTACACTACCGTACTTTTTGGCTCATGCTATTCAATGCAGCATTATGGCTAAGATTGTAAACACACACAAGTCAAGGCATTGGCATTGACTTATGTTTCCCCAGGGGGTGTACTGTGGTCCTTCTGTGGGCATAAGTTGCTAGCTTGTATACCTTAATGTAAACTGGCAGGGTTGCCTGATGATTGTTGCTGTCAAACCATATGTTTGACTCTCCTACCTTGAATGCATTGGAAATCTCGGCCATAACATTGCATTAGCAGTGTTTGTCCCCCAACTGACCTTTTTATTAAAAGAACAAGAGAGAAAATTCTGTGCATTTACAGAAGGATCTTGTGCATTTAAAATGGCCTAGACATGACTTAAAATTTGTCTAGTTGTGGTTGTCTTGATTGCACTGGTGCCTAGAGATGGGAGTAGGATCAGGGTCCCATTGTGTTGGGCATTTTAAAGATATGCTCCATACCATAAAGAACTCCCAAACAGGCATTAGCAGGTGGGAGAGGGGCACACAATGAGGGAGATAATGTTTTTTATTTGATCTGTTTTGTAATTGCATGAATATACTGGCAATAGAGGTAGACTCCCCTGTGCTCTTCAGCCAGACCATAGGACACTGACTGATTTATCACAGTTAGGTTGGATTCTTACAGACAGACAGAAATGCCTGATTTCAAGAGTCCTCCCAGGCCATCATGTCTAGTCTCCTTCATTTCCCAACAACTGTTTACCCAAAGAGTCCTAAAAATTGTCCATGCCAGCCCCTCCCATATTCTGCAAAACCTCAAATACCCTACAAGGTGCCACTGGCAAAAAGAAGAATAAATCAGTGCCATTGAACATAGTGACTCCTAAGGTTGGTTCCTGGTGAATGATCCTTGTGCTAGGGATTGTGTAGAAGGAACCCAGAGACTGTTGTGAAAGGAGGTGCCTGAGTGAGGCCAAACTGGAGTGCAAATGGGACCATCTCCAGCTTCACTGAATCTTAACTGTGACATAAGGAAATCACTGGGGATGAGTCATACACACAGTACAGTAAAATAGCAATGTGTTGCCTCAGGGCGATGGGCAAGGCTCCAATGTTAGAGCTCAGAAACATTCTGGCTCATGGGATACTCAGTATGATGCTAGGAATTCCGTTTTTCTCAACCTTATTTTTCCTCTATTGGGGACTAGACCAGGACAAGTGAGACACTTTACAAAGGAGTAAGCTTTGAGAAACAGGAGGGTGAAGGAATGTTTCTGACAAAAGCATCATTTCACACCTCAGTAACTCCAAATGGAGGGAAAGCTGTAGGTGCCTGAAGAAACGGCAGCACCACCCTTGCTGCAACCCTAGGGTCTCTCTGTCAGTTGACTTCAGTGTTTCCTAAAGCAGTGGTTCTCAACCTTTTTTGTACCAGGACCCATTCATAAACAACAATGGTCAGTCCTGACCCTGGGCCTCAGCCCCCCAGTGTGTTGGGTAGGGGGGCAGGGTATGGGGGACCCCAGGTAGCCCCTTGCAGGCTAGAACTTTGCCAGCCTGCAAGGGAAAAGCCACAGTTGCCCATGTTTTTTGTCTTTAAGGGAGAATCCATTTTAAAGCTTGTTGATCCATTTTTAAAGTTGCTTTGTGACCCTTTCATATATTCTTGCAACCCATTTTTGGCTCATGACCCATGAGTTGAGAAATGCTGTTCTAAACCACCCACCCTAGTGATATCACAGATCTTGTGAGATGCTCTGATATGCAGTGCATGCGTACATGTGTACACATTGATACACGAGGCACCTGGGCACAGGAACCAGGGAGTGCACCTTGGCTAGCTTGCTGTGTGTCTGCCTGAACCTTACTCGTTGGGGCTCAGATATCAGAGTTCTGCCTCTGCACAATGGGCAGCATGCTTGAATGGGATTTAATACATTGACAAGGTGAGGAATAATAAACTCTCTTGAGCAACAATTCCTAATGGACAGGCCTAGTTGAGCCACTTTTGGCCAGGGGCAATTGAGGGCTTAATACTGTGTGTGTAGCAATCAGGGCAATCTGAGAGAGAGGAGTTTAAGGGTAATTGCTCAATTTTCTGTCCATGTCAACAGGGAAAATGGGCAGCAGTGGCTGAGTTCAGCTCAGGAGTGAGGCTGGATGAGATGGGAGATGCGAGGCTGTCAGTGGAATTAGAAAAACGCTATCTGCAGAGCACTGCCTCCTTTTCTCTTGCAGCCGTGAACTTCTCCCAAGTGCAGGCTTCTCTCTGCTGGGGCTGCAAAAGGGAGGGAAGGGTGATAGAAGGGTATCCCTGCCTCCTCCTATTCTTTTCCTCTGCAGAGCAACATAGTCTCTGGTTTTACCCTGCCTGGTATTTCACTTGGGTTCATACTGCTCGTATTTGTCTTCCTGCCCAAAGCAGCAGGCAAGGGGCCATCTTCTGATCTGCACAGCCCTGCGTGATCAATGCCCCTGTATCTTCTTTCATATATGGTGCCTCAGCTAGTGGTACTGTTTATTTGAGAGTCCTCCTAACTGTACCCTTCAGCAGTGTTCCCTCCCCAGTGATGCCCTGCTACTTCCAGCCCCCATATCAGAGTGAGTCTGTCTCACCTTGTAGCTCCTCAGCCAGTGATACTGCTGTGGCTTATTGGTTGAGATTGCCACTGCTCTGTCTCTGACTGTGCTTTCTCCCCCTGTGCTGCCCCAGTTCAGCAGTGGCCCACTCTAGTACCTCTGTTCCCCAGGGAGAGCACAGCTTCCAAAGCAGTGTTTCACTGGAGGGTAGGGATGCTGTGAGTGAATGGGAAAGGGGACGTGTTATTTTATAGCAGGTAGTGTGTGTGATCAATGGAGCTGATTGAAATGAAGGGCTGTCTGTGCTATGCAGACAACCTAAACCTGACCTGCAGGTGAGGGAAGCTGCCAGGAGACGTGACTAGATCTCTACCCTCAAGGCAAAGCCCCTTCCTGCCTGCTTTAGGAAGGGAAGCTGAAGATGAGACCTTTCTATACAATGTCAGGCCTTTAAAAGAGCTTTAGCCTTCTGTTCAGTGTGGTCAGCTCCTTTGCATTTGAACAGGAGAGGAGCCCAGTCTCTGAGTGCAACAGGAGCCATAGGAAACATTTTAATGTACCACTAAAAGATAATGGTGCTCGTTTCAAGAAAAGAAAAGAAGGCAGTAGGTGTCTGCATAGTCACTATGCGAGTCTTTCTAGGGAGCTGAATCTGTAGTTGCAGAGCTGCCCCTGGCAGGCTACCCAGCACCAGAACTTCACAGCACTG